GAGTTTGGGGTTACAGCATGGCAGGGTAACCAGCTCGAGGGTTGATGAAATTGGGGTATAGGAGTTACGGGTTATAGCGTGGCAGGGTAACTAGCTCGAGGTTTAAGGAAATTGGGTTCGGGGTGGTAGTGGATCAGGGTAACAAATGAATGCTCTGTTCACTCTCCAATAAAGGGGTAGCAGCTTCTGGTGACGGATACTGTATACTTTTGTGTTAGATTTTAAACGGAATTTCATAATTTCATTTCTTCTGAAAAAATTTTGCAAGAAAATATTTGAAAACGTGGCTTTTCTTTCAGGCGACTTAGGGGGTTGAGTTGCAACCCCTGTAGACGAAATCCATATATTTAGCTAAAATTTGTTAAAAGAATTTTTTAGAGTTTGTTTCGTCGAAAACTGTGCATAAAATACGAATATTTCGCTATAAAATAGTGTTGAGGGGTGACTTTCGGGGGTAGCTTTCGACCTCAAAATAGTTTATTCGGCAGAATAAAAATGTACATGTGTTTGGCTTTTTTGAGCGTCATAGAACATGAAATAACCAGCATAATCTGCAATTAATAACTGCTTATATTGTATTAATAACATTAAGGGGTAGTTCACCCTCGAAATAATAGATAATAGGAAAACCCCGAAACACGTCAATTTTGTTTTATCACTTTCTACTAGAATATCATTTTTTAAATTTTTTTAACATAATTTTTTAATTTTGTAAGGTAAAAATACACTTAAAAATACAGTTTTTCCTCTATACAACATAGGGGTTGCAACCCCCGGGGACCAAATTGATGTGTGTCTGTTACTTTTTTTATAAGTATCTTGTGTTTTTTTGTTTCATAAAAAAATATTCATTACAACTAAAGATATTGCTATAGAACTGCTTTTGGAGCTGTTTTTTGGGGGTGTGTTTCATCCCTTAGATAGGTTTTTCCGCCGATAAAAAAATACGGGTCTTTTATTTTTTTACGAACTATAACATATCTCAATTGCAGAAAAATCGGAGGCGGAGGGTTGGGGTGGTTCCCTAGTGAGTGCGCTACCAATTACGCTACTGATTCGACTGTCATGGAATGGCTTGTGTATTCCTAGTGGACGGACTAATTTATGATTAATTATTCTACTCTAAACTATTGTAATACTGATTTTACTTATAATTAACGGAATGATAACAGGACAGGACAGGAATGCGTAACTAATGTATGCAGTTTCAATCATAAGGGATGCAACTCTTATTTTTTTTAATGAAAATTTAACCTTTTTTATTACTATTGTTATAAAAAAAAACGTAAAATAGCTAAAAAATTTTGAAAAAATATTATTGTGGGTAGAATACTAAAATAAGTTGACCTGTTCGATCTGTTTTTATTATTATACCTGTTATCTGATTTTATTATTTCTCAAAATAGAAAAACCATCTCAAAATTAATTTTACGATATATTTCAAGAACTATGTGATAATTTACTATGAATTAATTGCATACTACTTATAGTGTAAATATACAACTTACGCATGTAATTCTATCGATGAGGGGATTGCAACCCCTATTTCTTTCAATGAATTTTTTATTTTTTTGTCCCTATTATCATGAAAAAAAAAATTTTTTTTTAAATAAGCCAACAAAAATGATAAATATGTTATTGTGGATTGAGTACAAGAATTAAGTTTATCTGTCCAAAATTATCGTCCAAACCACCCTCAAAATAAACAATTTGAGTCTTAGTGTGAAAAGTAAATTCAAAAAGGTATCTTCTATCAGTCAGCTTTGGCATCGGGCTCACATACAGTCAACCAAGGTGATGCATACAGAAAAAAAATTGCCCGAATTTGTTTTAAAAAATTAAAAATCTGCTGTTGACGCTGGTTTTATTGTGCATGATCAAGGTTTGCGTTGTTGGGCATTACACGCAAAAAAGGATCTAGAGTTTGAAGATTTTAGGTTCAAAGCTTCAAAACACTGGTTATCAAGATTTAAAATTGCTCACAGAATTGTATCAAGAAAAATTAACGAATTCGTTACCGGAAAAACTTTCGACAGGAGTGCAGAACTAGAGAAACAAGCTCTTACATTTGTTACTAATGTGGAGAAAGCTATTCAAGAAATACGGATTTCGAGCGTGAAAAAACTTTGTTCGACGTTTTTCATATAACGTTATTTTAATGGATACGATATAAATTTACATTCGAGAAATAATATTATAGGCTTTAGTCATTGGTTCATAACCAATTTTCTTCACTAACAAGGGAAGGCAGGGAGGTGTCCGTCACCGATTTTCTTTAAACTTTGCATACGATTAGAGTATCAAAAAATATTAGACACGTTTTTTTTTTTAGCGGCCCATACGGTAATTTAGGTGGTAAAAACAGGGTTGCCAATTATAATTATCTACATACGCTTGAAGTGCATAAGTTGGCGAGACGCTAAATTCAAATTATCATATCTCGGTAAAAGAAAAAGATATCTGAACGATTCAAAATTCATTTTGAAGGGAAAGACTCATACTTTAAGATATATTAATGAGTTTGACCGAAAAAAATTATCTTATGATCTTACATAACCTCAAATATGTGTAAAAGTCGTGTTTTTTGCACTTGAAAAGATTTACAGTGTTTCTTTTGTAATCTTTTTCGTTCTTTCAAATAGAAAACTCAGTTTTTTGGGTCCAATTCCAAAAACTGGCCCAAATCTGGCTCAACTTGAAAATTTCGAATGGAAACTACTGTTGCTTATGGCAGATTCGAATTATGGGGGAAATTACACGTTCAAACGTGATATCAAATTTTACCGAGAAAATTTGTATTTTGAGTCCCAAAGTGGCACCAAAAATAAAAACCTGTGGTTTTTGGGACTTTTTGAATTTCACAAACTTCGCTTGTTTTTGTTTCTTAATTTTTTTCTATTGTTTATTATAAATATTATGCAAATTTTTTTGAAAAATGATTTTTACGCAGTTTTTCTGGCTCAAAAAATAATTTTATTTTAGTTAAAAATTTTTCTGAAAAAACTATTATCAACCAGTTGACAGTTTATTATGATTTCTGTTATTATTATTATTATTATATTGTTATTATTACGAGATGTATAATTATGAATTGTTATTGATTTTCTTATGTTCCTCAACGTATTGTATACCTATAATCCATGTATTACATTAATGTGCATATGAATATAAAATCTTATCACCAAATAAATAATTTTGTATTTTGACAGCATTAATTATACATATAACAATAATAGTAATAAAAATATTGCAGACACTTTGTTGTTATTCTTTTATTGATCACTGCAAATGCGGAAACCGCGATTGATTAATCATATTGATACTAATATGCGGAAGCAGTGCCGCAATAGTTAACCACTGGATATTTTTGACAATGTTGTTCGGTTTTTGTTATCTTTATAATATTATTTTATTTTGCTCATAAGGAAAAATATAAAAACATGTTTTATGAAAGGTCGAGTTTAGTTTAAAATTGTACTTGTATCGCATAACACCTGTATATATTCAGTAAGTGCCAATGCATTTAGATATACAATTCATATAAAAGATTGTTCATAAAATTGTTAAGACTACTTGAAAATAATTAGTTTTACTATCATCGAAAATTCTGTGCTCAGAATTTGATTGCGTGACTTTCCAAATCAGACTTTTCACTATTCGTACATATTGGATAATATATATTAAAAAATGCCTGTTGATGCAAAAGTTGTAACAACCTTACTTTCAATGACATTTGATCGGAGCAATAATGGCGAACCAAAGTTTTTAATCAGTGACGAAGAAATGCAATTGCATAACATACTGGAGAAAATAATAAGACAGCATGCAGAAAATTCTGATGCTGATGTTCAAGAAGAAACGACATTGTATTTTTGCGATGAAAATGAAATTTATCCAGAAGTTATTGAGTACATGGAAAACGAAGAATCTGAGGATTTTCTAGAAGAATTAAATAATCCATGTGAGCAAGACAAAATTGACTTTAAATATAAAGAAGAAGCAGTAAAGTTTTGGTTGAGTGGAAAAGGTAAGCCTTATTCATTTAATACTGTAAAGCACAAATACAAACAAGTAACTAGCGAGCGACAATTACGACGATGGAAACAGCAAGTTGAAGCAGGAGGCAGTAGATATGATAAATTATTCAAGATATCAGAATATGTTTTTAATAATTTTAATGAAGCTATGATATCAAAAATGACTGTACATGATATTGATTTGAAAAGATGGGCTTTACAAAAAAAAGTTGAAATAGCTATGCCTTTGTTCAAAACATTGAATTGGTGGATCTGGCAATTTAAAAAAAAAACATAATATAGTATCTCGAAAAATCACTAAATTTGTTACAACAGATTCATTGAAAAATATTGATGAAATTGAAAATCAAATACAAATTTTTTCGGTAAAATTTGATATCACGTTTGAACGTGTAATTTCCGCTATAATTCGAATCTGCCATAAGCAACAGTAGTTTCTATTTGAAATTTTCAAGTTGAGCCAGATTTAGGCCAATTTTTGGAATTGGACCCAAAAAACTGAGTGTCTCATTTGAAAGAACGAAAAACATTACAAAAGAAACTCTATAAATCTTTTCAAGTGCAAAAAACACGACTTTTACACATATTTGAGGTTATGTAAGATCATAAGATAATTTTTTTCGGTCAAACTAATTAATATATCTTAAAGTATGAGTCTTTCCCTTTAAAATGAATTTGGAATCGTTCAGATATATTTTTCTTTCACCGAGATATGATAATTTGAATTTAGCGTCTCGCCAACTTATGCCCTTCAAGCGTATGTAGATAATTATAATTGGCAACCCTGTTTTTACCACCTAAATTACCGTATGGGCCGCTACAAAAAAATACGTGTCCAATATTTTTCGATACTCTAATCGTATGCAAAGTTTAAAGAAAATCGGTGACGGACACCTCCCTGCCTTCCTTGTAAGATGTTTAAATCTTGTTCACATTAGTTTAAAAGTGGATATCTCGAAGTACGAGTAAAACCGGAAAAATTTGATAATCTGGTTGATTTCAGTTTCAGGGATTCTTGTAGTGCAAAATGCGAAATCGAAGGTTGTCAAAATGCTGCAATTATACGTTATGGCTGGTGTAAAAAGTCCCTATGTTTCAAACATTTTTTTGATGATTATCATTACTGATCAGACTTTAACAAATAAAAAATATTAAAAAACCGAAATTTCTCACCAAAAAAACATTAGAAAGTAAAGAAGAACTATAAACTAATGCTGATGCTTTTGTAGCTGATGTTAAATCATGTACTCGTATACCAGAAATCGGCATTGCAAATTTTTATAATTCAGATCAGAGTGGTTTCCAATTAGAAATGCACTTGGGAAGAACATTAGTAGTTGAAGGAGAAAAGCAGGTGCAATGTCTGGTATAGTCGGTTTCATCGACAACGCACAGTTATACAATTCAGCCAACTATATCAGCAACCGGGAAACTTTTATCACCACTTTTTATAGTATTAAAAGAAAAAAGTGGTCAATTCGGTCCCATAGTGGAATCTTCATTATTTAGACCAGAAAATGTGCGTGTGGGAGCATCTAAATCTGGAAAATTAACGACAATTTAGTGTATTTTTGTTTATTATAATGCAATGACATAAAAAAATTTTGACATTTTTTTATTTTAGATCATTTTAAAATTTGGTTGAAAGAAGTTTTTTACCCAAATGTTGGACCTTAATCTGTACTTTTACTCGACTCTTGGAGTGGACATTGCTATAAAGCTGATAGGGAAACGATGCCGACAAACAAAATTGTTAATATAAAAAAAATTCCCACAGGAACGACAGGGAACATCCAACCACTCGATGTTTATGAATTTCGTATCCGGAAAAACTTCGTTCGACGTTTATCAGATCAAGTAATTTTGATGGACTATGAAATGAATCTACATTTAAGAAATAACATCATAAAAATGCAGTCTCTTGTCCATTACCAGCTTTCTTCATCAAGATGTACAAATATTTTTAAATAGGCTTGGTATAAAAGCGGCTACATTGCTGAAAAACCAGCTAAAACAAATAACCCTGTTGATTTTAGTTTTGGAGATTTTTGCAATATACATTGCGAAGTAGAAGCATGTAAAAATGTTGCTATAATACGGTGTGGTTTGTGTAAAAGATCATTATGTTTCAAACACTTTTTCGATGATTATCATTTCTGTAAGGAATTCGTTGAATGATACATTTTAATTTACCAATAAATAAAAAAAAGAAAAAGATGAAAATTATTATGAAAAATCAAAATATATGTAGTATCGCATGCGATGGCTCTTACGTAAATATATTTATGTATCTACATACGAATATAAATATATATGTATAGATCTATAAATGATAATTAGACCTCGTGTTATTCTCGTGTTTATTTTTAAGAGATATTTCTTGCCATTTTGGTACTATTAAAATAAAATGTATTAAACATATTTTTATTTATCATAAATTATGTTTGAGCTACAGATATATTTTATAAAAAAAATGGGATACCCCACGTACGGTGTAGAAATCAATTATTTTAAGAAAAAGCAACTGATAAACTCAATTCTCCCAAAGTTAGGTCTATTAGCCTACATTTGGTTGGGTAAGGGTGGTTTATGGGGATTTGGTGGGTTAGAGGCAGGTTGGTTAGTTGAGGTAGCTCGCTCAGGCGTAGAATTAAATTATTTCAGGAAATAACAAACGACTTGACTCGTGTTTCCCAGGTTTAGGAGGTTTAGCCTGCTTGTGTTTCAGTAAGGGTGGTATATAAGGGTTAGATAGGTTAGGGGTATGTGGATAAGAGGTATGTTATACAGCTGGGATAACTCGCTTATGGTGTAAAATTCAATTATTTCAAGAAATAACAAACGACTAAAGTTGCTTTTCATAGGATTAGGTGGGTTATCCTGCATGTGGTTCGATGCGGGTGGTTTATGGGGGTTTGGTGGGTTAGAGGCAGGTGGGTTAGTTAAGGTAGCTCGCTCATGCATAGGATTAAATTATTTCAAGAAATAACAAACGACTAAACTTGTTTATCCCAGGGTTAGGTGGATTAACCTGCTGATAGTTTGACGGGGGTGGTTTCTAGGGGGTGAAACACCCCTTAAATATATTTTTTTTTTAATCCGGAAACACGTCAATTTAATTTTGGTATTTTCTCATTATTAGTGCGATTTTTAAATCACTTGAGCTGATTTACTATATTACATGTCGTAAAACAGTACAAAAAATAGTGTATTTACCCCTATTAAAAAGGGGGTTGCAACCCTTCGGTATAAATGTTATGTCCTTAAAAGCGCCTTTTTATAAGAAATTTTTTAACGTTGAGTTTATTGAAAAATATTCATTTGATGCTGAGAAATATTAAAAAACTGATTTTAGGGGTTGATTTTCAGGGTAGATTTCACCCCTTAAAAGCCCTTATAGGCCGATAAAAAAAACACATATCTAATTTTTTTTCAAGTACTTCAACATATCCCAAAATCATTCAAATCGGTGAGGTCGGGTTGGGGTGGTTCCCTTGCTAGAGCGGCGATTGTGATAGAGTTATAGAAGAGACGACATATAATATAGATTTTCTATTATGAGAGTGGTTTGGAAGATAACCTGAAGCACTTCAATTTAATTTTTGTATTTAATGTATGATAATATATGTTTCAATTTTTTTTGGCTCATTTAAAAATTTTTTTTTCATGATAATAGACATAAAAAGATTTTTTTTTTTAATTTGTACATTCAACAATCTGAAGCTTTAAATTGTACGTCGTAAAAACCCATTATTCTTGGATTACAATGCCTATTTGCGAAGATCAGTATCATGAATAATATTGCCCACTTTTATAGAATCTTTAAAATTTGTTAGTTCAAATTCAGAAATGGCATTTAGTTTTTCCTTGCAGGTACCGACTTTATTAATCGGATTTACCTAACGACGTAATTGTCGCTCAGAGGACATTTTATTATACCTCTGTTTAACAGTGACAATGCATAAATTTCTTGTCTTTACAGATCTGCAGTATTCAACTGCTTTTATTTTCTATTCATAACTTGATGTTTCATCATCCGATGTATATTCATCAACATCAGTAGGCTGTTTGTATCATATATTATCTTTAACGGCCATCGCGTCATAATTTTAAAATTCTTCTTCAAATTCGAGTGTATTATCTTCAAGAGCTTCCATTTCATTAGAGTTATCTATAGCATTCAAAAGCGTTTTTTCAATATTTTCTTTCAATTTTAATTCTGCTTGGTTAACAGGAGTTTCTTGTACATTCATAACTTGGAATTTTGTTAGTAGAAGATTAATTATATTCATTGGATTGATTCTTATTATTGTCCAATATTAGAATACTTACAATTAACAGAAATGAAACATAAATTTTGCTACTTCTCCAGTATTCTACGGCTCTTTATTTATATTCAAAAGTATATTCAAAATCTTCATTTTCTTCTATACAGTGGTCTGTAGGTGCTTCGAAAAGGTCAGGAATGTGGCTTTCAACTTCATCTTCTATTATTTTTGCGTTATGATCTTTGTAATCTTCTTGAAAATCTAATGTATCTTGAGCGATCATATCTATTTCATTGAAATCATTCAATGAATCTATTAAAATGCTGGTGGTTGAAAAAAGTATATTTTTCTCACGTGGGACCTACAAAAATGCTGCTCATTGATTCATGCAGTGGTCATTGTCCAGCTTTTGTACAAGAAGTTATGCTATGTGATAAAACAGTATATCTCAAAGTGATATCTACAGGAATGACTGGAAATATTTAGCCATTCGATGTCTATGGGTTTTGTACATAGCAAAACTATTTGTAGCGGTGGTTTCATCGAGCTATCTTTATTTGTTTTTGAAATATTTGAAAAAAACTGTTTCTGTGGGTGAAATTTCGGACTGAATTTTCCCCGCTTTTTGATACCCTCTAAATTGTGTATTAACCTATATGAAAAATAAATTTCTTATTTTTCAATGTACCATAACATATTGCAATATCATTCCAATTGGCGATACATACGTGGGGTACCTTCTTGTTAGTACATCATACATATAATAGATGCAAAAAAAACTAATTTTGTAATATTTAAGTACGTTATAAAAAAATTTTTAAATAATATTTGTAAATAATTTAATAAATTTTATTTTAGATCAATACGTAATTTAGAAATAAGAATAAATTGTTTAGAAATAAGAAAAAAACCATATTTTTAGCGCCTTAAACTATAATAAATCTGACTACTTTTACATTCATCAATATCCAGGTCTCTCTTTACTTTGTATATTTTTTATTTACTAGTATTTGTCTATTTATTATGAACAGCATACATTTGGATACAAAAATAATGAAGTGGCTATGAAAATTTACTTTCAGTATTCATTGATCAAGAGCGTAATAATTTAGTAGTTACACAATCAGATTTCGCTCCAAATATATGCCAATTTAAGTAGAAATCAAAATAAACGTTTGATTTTTTGACACAAGAACGTATTCGATACGATTGAAGACAGCGGAGCAAATGAGTTTTGGATCAACAGAATGCAAAGAGATATTTAAAGGTTACTACTGAATTAGCGATGAACGTAGACGCATTGATCAGTTACCGATTTGTAACTTCAAATAAACGTGTATACGTAGTTTCGAGTTAAGATTTTAATAATGAAAATTCAATTTATAATAATAGATAGATAAGAAAAGTAAAAAAATGTGTTGCATTGTTATTATTTTAACACTCCTTTTATGAAAGTAGAAGCGAATAAATAGTTTGTAAAAACAAGAGGTTGAAATCGTTCTAATAACTTTTTATCACTAATCGATAATCTGGTTTTTAATGTGTAAGATATTGTAATATCTTTATTCGAAAAGTAGAATACACATTTAATAACAATTTGACTCACATAGTCGAAAGAAAGATTATTTATTGCAATTGACAAATATGAATTTATCAACGCATACGATTAATTTTGAATTTAGCAACGTGTTTTACTAATACACACTTCTCCGCTGTGATATCTGTTTTGAAAATAAAATTAGAAATCCATCTTTGAAAAAAGTAATTTATGTTAAATATGTTAATATAACAATAAAAAAAAATGAAAACAAATAAAATAAGAGCCCGCAAAACGCATCTGATCCTACGTATTCCGTTCATTTATAAAATCGTAAAATAAATAAAAGTAAAAGTTCATAAAAGAAAGCTAGTACCTATAGGGTACGAGCATATTGGCACTAACGGGCGACCATATTCAAGTAATCGTTATTCGAGTTACAATTGCCTGACGTTCTATCGAAATTGATGCACAGTATCAACTACACATCACGCAGTTACCTAACAGCATGGAGCTTCTACGCAACGTATATTCTTGATTTTGACTATAAACCCTGCTGGATATCACGTATTCCCAAGCATTTTCAAGCAAAGAAGAAAACATTTTTTAATTGTTATTTTATTAATCAACGATATTTGGAGCACTTCCAAGACAATAGAGCTAAAACCGTAAGTTTTAAGTAAAAAATTTTTTTTAATTTCAACTCCAATTTTAGCACAGAAAATATAACCATAAGTATAGAGGAGATCCGCACATGATGAATACAGCCTATTATTTTGGTATTGGTTATAACGAAGATTATTACAACTCTTACAATATTATTATAATATATTTACAGTCTAAACGACATTGTTTACTTTTGATGTTCAGCTTACGATTTTTCGTGTAAATGAAAGTGTATTATTTATTATGTCTAATAGTCTATATACTATGAAAATAGTATAGAGTTACAGTCGTTACTTATATTATCACATCCGTTATCTTAAACTTTTATTATTTTTTTCAACGTTATTTATAAATTTAAAAGTAATTTTGCATGTACCGGGCAAGAGGGACAACCCCTTAAATAGAAATGTTTGTAAATGTTTATTTTGCTTAAATGTTCAGTAGTTTTATAAGTCATTTCAAGATATAATTTATAGGTATTTAAGCGTTGACTAATTAAGTCTCCAAATATAAGAGAAAATTGAGCTGCAGTAATGGTTTGAAGGAAATATAAAACTGACTTTCAAAAAATTAAAGAAAGCGGATATTGAATGACGTTTAGTTATCAAGTAGGGAAGTATAGTTATAAAACACTTTAAAAGCATTCAGAAAAAGTATATTTATTCTAATGAGAATTGATTTACAAAGCGATATAAAGCAACTATGATTGATATAATGACAAAGAATTGATAATAAAATAAACATCTATGAGGGTTTGGTCATAAAAACACAAAGTATGTCGGCGAGTAAATCGGCTGAAAGCGATCTAATAAGCTGTTTGAAATGTTCTGCATCGGCGAGCTCTTGCGCATTGCCAAAGAGAAATTGGATCGCCGCGTCTTTGAGTTTGTGTGCTCCGTAATCGTCTGCCAACCGAAGGCACTCGTAAACATTGTCGATGTGCAGCTGCTTGACCAACTGTTCCTCGCACTGCTGCTTGAGACCATCGAGCTCATACTTATCGGCTGCCATTAAAACTGTGTCAGCGAGCTCTTCGAGATTATCTACCTGGCCGACGTAGATGAAATGCAAAAGCTTGTGCATAACCTCAACTTCCACGTCCTCGATGAGCGCAAAGTTGTCACTCTTTTCGCGCATGTCGCTGTCAAACATCACCGCGAACACTCGGCTGTGCGCCGCCAGAATAGCCTTGTGCACCGGGAACTCTGTGCCCTTTACTTTCAACACAAAATCGCTGAACTTGTCGTTATTCAGCAGATTCTTGAAATTATCCATTTGCGCATTACGACACTGAAGGATGGACAGCGAGGTATCGATCACCTGTTTGTTCGAGAAGATTTGATCGACCACGTCATCGGTGGATATTCGACAGACTATTTTTAATTGATCGTTAATAAGTAGATTTGACACGCCGAATAAGTAGCTCTTCAATATAAAATTCTTAAATATACTTATTTCCTCGTTTAACTTGTCTTTATCTAACAGAGCGTTGATCGTCGTATTTTTCTTACCCTTCTTATCGATAAGCGCAATCTCAAGGTTGACATGTTTAAAAAATTTCGTTATTTTATCGTATAGATAAATACGAATACCCACGTGGTCCTTGTTTTTCATATCATAGCCTGCCAAATATAAATCCATCGTCCACTCGAACTCACCGTTTTCCCCAGTTTTGAATTTCGGCGACTCGAGGTACTGTCCAACTTCGAGGCGATGATTTTTCACGTTCTCGATAATCCAAATGAACTCGTATTCCGTGATTGTAATGCATGCCAATCCGCACTTTTTCACAACTTCCATAGTTGAGTGCATGTGAACACGAGAATTTTAATAACTGTGCTTGAACTTTTGGTCAATTGAATTGATGCTCGCGGCCTATAAAAAAAGTTAATAATAGCGCGCTTACTACGTATACATATTTCATTGAGCAATACAAATATAAACAAAACTTTTATCTTGCCTTATCGATTTTTATCGGATGGAATAACATGAACGGCAGCATAATTCACGTTAAGCCCAGCGACTGTAGCGCCAATATTTCTTAATGTTTTAACAAACAATATCAACTTCAACGCGTATTCGATTTACAATTAAAGGCAATTGACTGAATGTCGAAATTATTTAGTTGATCAAATGAGCTGTCAATTGTAATAGTAATGAGAAAAACGCAATGGATAAATTAGTTTTGCTGTATCTTGAAATAATGATAATACATCAATTAAACGTTAATAAAATAGAACTGCTTATTCAATAATAATAGACTAAGATACTGAAATTGAGGAAAAAGAGGCATGATTGCCACACAAAGTTAAATATTTGTTCAGAATTCCATCGCGAACACATAGTCGATAGGCAGCACGAAAAACTGACTGAATACTTAAAGGGCTAGGAAGACAAGGTGCGACTGAACGAAGCGGACATTCGTTTGAGACTGAATTTCCGTAGGCGAGTCGTTTTGGAGTATGTTCCGCGAAAAGCGTGGAAAAACGGAGATGTTGCCCTCTTCCTTTCCCATGATGGGCCCTAGGCGAACATTATACTTTAATTTTTTTTTAGTGTAAACCATATACATGAATAATGGTTCAATAACTATTTAATAACAGTGTGCGTCATCTCTAATATATATAATATAAGCACTCATATTATCCACAACGAAATATGTGTATGATTTATGTGATTTTTAATGAGCGCACTGTTTACGTAGATAGCGATCGGTTGCATGCTCGTATACTGTACATTCCATGCCAGGTGCAAGCTCAAGCAGTACGCAGGTTCCATAAAAAAAAACTCGAATCTGAGAACTGATCTGCTAGTCGTATCGTGTTATCTTTAATCATTTTCTTACGGTTGTCCTACCTTAAAAAAATGATGTGTAGCCGATCACCCAGCATTGTGATTGGTTGAACGTCAAAAAGCGCCGACATTCAAATATTTGAAAGAGTAGCGACGGTGACGATAAAAGTTTGACGATGTCAATGTCACACGCACCAAACCAACACACACATGTTAAGCATCTAAGCGTCATTTGTCTCTGCGGCGCATTGTGAAAACGGCGATTACGTGATTTCTTTCGATCGATTATTAATTGAGGTGTTATTTAATAGTGAGCAAGTAAGTTTTTATATATTTTTTAAACCAAGTGTGAATTAAATAATTATCATTATTTTGTTTACTTAAAAAATAAAAATAGTAATTTATGTAACTAACCTATTAAAACCACGTGTATTATATTTTCAACAGCTCAACTATGAATATCAATAACAACCAACAAATGACTAAACCTTATACTTCAAATGAAAAGATCTAGCAGAAATTATAAATAAAGATTAAAATGTGTAAGTATATATATCTACCTAATTATTAATAAAAAAAATTATATTCAACCATCACTAATTCTACATTACAACGAATAAGAAAACAAGGAGAACAACGTTATAACAATCTAAATCTTCAACAAAAACAAATAGTTGACATGATTTTTGAAGCAGTTCACAATTCAAACTATTCCGGTTCTAGGTGCATTTATATGGATGGACCAGGAGGATCTGGAAAAACGTACGTTTATAAAACTATATACTATAAATTAACTTCTGAAAATATTAAAATATGTTCAATGGCATTTACTGGAATTGCAGCTATATTGCTTCCAAATGGAAAAACTGTACATGAAACTTTTGGATTACCAGTACCTATGTTTCAAGATTCATCTTCGAATATTAAAGCACAATCTCGTAAAGCTTAAATAATAAGAGAAACTGAAATATTTATATAGGATGACATTTCAATGACTCCAAGATATGCATTGGAAATTGTAAATAGAACCTTACAAAATTTTATGAACAATGATTTGCCTTTTGGAGGAAAAATTATCATAGTAGGAGGAGATTTAAAGCAATTGTTACCAAGTAAAGTTTGAGGAACACGAAGTGAAATATTAAGTTTTGTGTTAAGTATAGTGAAGTATGGAAATATTTTACTAAATTTACTTTAACTGCCAACATGAGAGTTTTATCAAATGAAATAGAATATTCTAAATTTCTATTAGATATTGGAAATGGAATATTAAATGATAAAAATGACTGCATAACTATTCCTGAACATTGTATACTCCCCCACATGCTAATATAATTTATATGTTTAGTAACTTAATTAGAAAAAATAAATTCCAAGAAATGAGTAAATGTGCTATATTATCAGCTAGAAATATTGACGTAGACGATATTAACAAACAAATTACTAATTTATTGAATAAAGATTCTGAACGAATATATACCGCTATTGATACCGCTGTTAATAACAATGGTGAATTAGACGATCTTATTTTACCAGAACATTTGCATAATTTAAATCCGCCAAGTTTACCTCCTCATGAATTACGATTACGAAAAAATTGTATTATAATGCTTATTAGAAATATTAGTATTAATGAAGGCTTATGTAACGGAAGATGTTTCCAAATAATAGATTTTACGAACCACTTAATAAAATTTGAAATTTTAACAGGTGATAAAGTTAATGAAATTGTCTTCTTAAACCGTATAACACTGTATTCTGAAAATGATTATCCATTCACATTTAAAAGAAGACAATTTCCAATCAAACTAGCTTTTGCAATGACCATTAATAAAGCTCAAGGACAAACATTTAAAAACACTATTATTGATCTTAGAAGAGACGTGTTCAATCATGGTCAACTTTACGTATCAATGTCTAGGGTTAGATCTTAAGATTCTGTTAAAATATATTTAGGAAATTACGCACAAATAAGAAAAATTAAAAATCTTGTCTACAAAGAATTATACCAAGAATAAATTTTGATGTATTACAATAATGAAAAGCATATTATAGAATTATATTATTAAAAAAGATGCAAAACTTAATAATATGTATTTATGTAATCACAAAATAATATAAAAGAAATCTTTTTTATAATATTATATTAATATATTGACAACATATGCTAATAAAGATAAGAAATTACAGCGCGCATAGCGCGCTTGACGACATCTAGTTGAAAGTAAAATTCCATAGCTTTTCAAGTTGAAAACTATTCAACTACTTTCAATATATTGAAATATAGTTGCTTTTTATAAGAGACTAGTGCCGTCAAGCGCGCTTCACACGCTCATCTTTCATTTATACTAATATTCAGTTTTATTTGCTCGAATCAAATCACAACTATTTATAGATGAAATTAAAAATTCTAAAATACATCACATACATCAAACACATCCATACTTTGAAAATCCATCAATATTATTGGTAAAGAAAACTTAATATTTGTAGATTTAATTGTTATTTCAAATCTAATAACGTAGCAAATTTCTAGATGTTTAGCTATAGTAATAGAATGTGCACTAAGTTTGTTTCTTCTTTTTCATTTTCTAAATAAATCGAACAGTCTGCGATGCTTCACAATTACATTTTCTTTATTTTTTAACATGTTTTGTTGAAAAAAATTTTGGAAGTTAGATGGGCTCGTTTGGGGCAGTGCTTTCGATAAACTAAATTTTTTAATTTTTACTTTTAGTAATCAACGTTATTGTTATCTTTCATCTATTCATCCATCGCATTTTTTACTTTATATTTACATTTACAAATTTAATTTCAAGAAAATTAAGAAAAAAAAATTATATACTCTTTATTGTTGATTATATTTATTTAAAGCTAAACTTGATAACATAAATATTCAATATCTATGTCCTGAGAATAACTGTAATTTAATTGAATTAAGATAATTTTATCATAATATTTTAAGGTTAGTGCGTCAGGTGAATGTGAATTTTATTCTCTTTTTTTTATGCATACAAATTGTCTTATTTTTTATTCATTCAATCAATCGTTCGTAACTCGAGCCATTTATTAGCACTGATTTGCTACTTTTGCTACCCATTCACTTGTATATACTCATTATGGCCATAGTTCAGCTAATTAGATTACGAATAAACTAGCTTCATTTTCAGATCCACCTCTATTTTATAAAAGGAATAATACAAGGATATAAGCTTTTGAAAATCTACGTGTAATCATAAGAAAAAAAAAATAAGCAAAAGAATTATAAAAGTCAATAGCAAAACTACCAAAGATATCTCAATAACGTAAAGTTTCAACAAAGAATAATGTTGATATTGACAAAACTAGTGAAGATGAACTTCAAATACTACGATTAGACTCAGATGACAAAAACATCGATGAAGGACGACATGAAATCAAGAAGCAATGCCGCAGAAATGAAGCAAACTACAATAATTCTATAATATACAGATAGATAAAATTGTGTAAAACACAAGTTATTTCAAAAGTGAAACAGAAAATAACAGTAGCATTGAGGAAACAGAAGCTGGTAAGTTAATAAAATCATTAAAATCAAACAACTATATATATAATATAATAATAATAATCAAATAACTACATATATAATGTAATGTTAGATTGATTCGTTTTTAATCTTTCAGAAAACTCGAAGAATAATATTAGTGTGAATAGTTATAGCACTAATTCAGCTGATTAGACTGTGAATGCAGATTTGATCATTTATTTGTTGTGAAAGAGCCTACTATTTTATAGAAATAACGATGATAAGTTTAGACAATCCGCTCGTATGTATGTTGAAAGTGAAGCAAAAAACAAAATATGATATTTACAACCATCTTTTTTTACTGTCAGTTAATAAATGTGATTTTCAAAAGAATAAATTATTTTTGCAATAGAATTTCCGCATAATCTATAAATATTGTAGATATTATATTAAAGTAATTTCAATTTTTATAACACATTATATATTTTACATTATTTTTTTGATTATAGTGCATACGAGATGTCACCAGTAATTTGATTAAAGTGAATATTAAATGAGAACAATTAAAAATTGCGTAGAGACCCCCAAATAAACGTGTATCGAGATTTCATTATGATCATTTAATATTTAATTTTTGATTAAATTGAAGGACATTACAAGTAGCTTAAGTTTTAATGAACGCGCGATGACTCGATATTTTACGAATAAATTTTACAGTCAATTGTAAAGTTTTATATCTAGTAATGGAGCTCCGCATCTGTTACAAGTGAATTACAATTGCTCAAACATTATCTTCTTATGAAAAAATCTGATAGGTATTTACGTCTGAGGTCACGAACGTTGCGTGATTTCCCAGTGGGCTTCTTTTTAATCAAGCACCGTTTGTGTTTTTTGAATAGCCGATCATTGTCGAATATAGCCTTAACGTCTACTTCAATCTAAAAGAGTGGATAGTGATCGTTTGTTCCACCTTTTACGGATTTTTTGGTTGCAACATCGGCTTGGGCAATGAGTTTCATGCAAGCTGATGAATTTTGTAAAGATGTAAAATGAAATGTCTCTTTAACTTTGCTTGCACTGTTAACCATTCAGAACGCTTATAGCGTATATGTAAAATAATTGTGCCTTATCAAGATAATATACAAAAGATTTAGGATAATTTTAATAATTATAAAACTGCGAAATCACTTTTTCTGTCTTAGATATTACATAATATGCAAAACTACTTTTCATTCCGATTGATAATAATAAAGGAAAGAACTATTGCTATCCTCAATATCTATAATAATAAACCGTGTAATTCATCATTAATTCATATGATTTCTATAATACATGAAAATAATCTACAGTAAAATTTTTCTGATATGAAATATTTATCAAAATATTGCCTCTTGTTTTTATTTACTTTTTCTTTTTTGTTCAATATGTTATAGATACATTGAAAATGACAATACAATCTTTAAAACATGTTACGTCCATACAATACTTGTTTAAAGCAGTCATTCTTAACTTTTATTATAATAAATATTAATATTATTAAATACTTTTATTGTATGATACACTAACGTATTGTGCAGTTTTTCATGGTACATAAAATATATATTTTACAATTAAACTTTTGAACAAAATAAAATGTTTAATGCTCGACTAATACAATGATTAAAAAGTATGAAGTATTAAGCTGACGAAGTTTGATGAGTGTCCCTATGCTGTCTATCTGTTAAACATTGTCGTATGGACAATGAACTTTAACTCGCTTAAATAGGTAACCGTGTTTAAAAAGTCATATCCCATACGACGTGGTGCAATAAAGCTATAATATATTTTATATTATTTGAACTTAGAAAAGACTTCAGAGTGATAAAAAATTCAATTAGCCGGAGCTAAGATTAATCCAAATCTAAAGAATAATAATTTTTAAAAGTTCCCATGTGTATTGTTATCAAAGTTCTATTTAGTTACGTTTCAGGACTGCAAAATATACTCTACATGTATAGAGTGAAAATACTCCAGCTCATGAATTAATTTATATATCGAAATTTTTATTTGAAAAATATGACGAAATTACGGTTAATTGGGTGTTTGCAATTATCTCGCTATGCGTGCCATGAATACTTAGATTATATCTGCGTTTATTTATATTATATAAAGTTTCATATAATTTTTTCTTTATTACAACAGCAAGTTAGATATTGTCTCATTTAATTAATGATATGGAGTCGAGATCCAAATTTTGATCATTTGTATAACGAATACGGACAGTCAAAGCGTTAATTTGTAAAGTGTCATATGACATATTTTATTTTAAGTTTCGACATACAAAAAGATCGATTAAAGTTTCAAGGAAAATATCATTCATAACGCAAAAAAGCTACCTAAAATACTTAATATATATTTATCATACTTCCAAACTGTCAAATTCAAGATGTAAATTTAACACATTAAGTGAAAAATTTATACATTCCAGATTATTTAGTATTACATTTGAAGTTATTTATACTTCAAAAAAACATACAGATACATTAAACATGCCATACAATTTCTGGATCTCAGTGCATCAACACACTACATTTGAGCTCAGTAATGATGAAATGGAAGTCATTGCGTGAATTCTTACGTACTCATACTCATGAAAGTTATTGGATACCCTATTATCGAAATAATTAAACTAATAAATAAAGTAATAATTAAACATTAATGAAACTCTGTTATGTTCCTTATTTTGAAAAACATACAAGTCAACTGATCACAGGAAAAACGAATCATGGTTTAATTATGAAAAATTGTTTTTCTGAATAAGGAAAATACTGCGCCGACTTTTCAAAAATCTCTCGACTCGTAAATCTTACTGTTTGTAGTCCTTAGTATTACAATAAATTAAATTCTGTTGTATGATATTACGACCAAAGGAAAGATTTTGATACATCGATGATGTTTTATAAACCAAAAATAGATCACATTCGTAATTATTGATATAAAATAACATAAAAAAACAATTCTTCAAGAACAATTCAACATATTATATGATCCGTATTGTTGTTCGTAGTATCAGCTTTCTATTTGATATTAATATTCATAAAAATTAAATCAAAATAAAATATAGTTCGAAGAATTGAAGGATAAATATGTAATTTTGACATGAAACAGATGTGACGTCATTTGATTCATCAGTCTAGTCCGAATGTCAAAAAAATGATTGAGATCGACGAGAGTTGTTATTTTCATTCTCATACGCGTGAGTGTATGCAAAATGTATATAAGCATTCCAACATTTGCGCAAGTTAGCATGTAAATTCATACACGAAATTCGTCTACGCCAACGTATGAGTTTGCGCATTACAAAAAAGAAAACAGTAGGCATAAGAAGCTGCTCTCCATTACACTTGTAGCTTTCACTTTTGAGCGTGTACGAAGAGGTGGTAACGAAGACCCATGAACCCAACTTAGCTAAGTATCGAGGCGATGATGAAAATTGGCGATATACATAAGCGAGCACAAAGGAACCTTGTAGCACAACGAAGCCAGTCAGCCAAATTGGCTGAGTAATAGATTATGTAGGGTCCTGCGCTCTGGTACTAATGACAATCGCCCAACCTTGAACGTTAGAGATGCGAAAGGTAGACCGACGGCCGGACGAGCATGTAGGCGCGCAAGCGCCGCACTTTTCGGGCGTTGCGCGCACGTAGACAAAGCTGACCTTAAGATGTCATATGCGCGTGGAGTTCGGCGCTCACTCGCCGGGGACTGACAGGTCTGACAGGTTCCCCCGACAGTCCAACAGCGCGAGCTGCCTTGTACCGACGATGTGAATCGCGAGCTGGTATAAAAGAGCTTGCCGACGAGCGATCGACACAGCATTCAGTCGCTTCCAGTCGAAGAGATCAAAGCTAGCCGTAACCAGAGTCGAGATGCTGAAGCTCGTGATCGTCGTCGCCTCGTGCCTGGCCGCCGCCAACGCCGGACACCTGGGCCTGCCCCTGGCGTACAGCAGCTACGCCGCGGCGCCGGCGTACTCGGCCTACGCGAGCCCGGCCATCGTCAAGACCGCCGCAGCCCTGCCGCTGGCCTACGCCGCAGCCCCGGCTTACGCTTACTCCAGCCCGACCACCATCGTCAAGTCTCACGCGCCGCTCGCCTACAGCAGCTACTCCGCCTATTCCAGCCCGGCCATCGTCAAGAGCGCCGCCGCGCTGCCCCTCGCCTACGGCAGCTTGGCTGCCCCGGCCCCTGTCATCAAGACGGCACCCCTAGCTTACACTGCTCACGCCACACCTCTGGCTTACTCTGCTCACCCTGCTCCACTCTCCTACTCCGCCTACTCTGCTGGCGTCGTTAAGGCGCACGCTCCTCTTGCCTACAGTGCGTACGCCTGGTAATCATCCCTCTAGCCGTGGCCAAGCTTCGGGGCGCTGCGCGGCCGCTGAGCCCCTACCTCTGCAGTGTGTCATAATCGCAAGCGACCCTCGCGATTACGTGCAACTACCTCGCTACTCCATCCGTTTTCTACGTTTACTTTTGGTACTGTTACTTATTATCACGATTGTCAATTATTTTTTAAGCAATAAATTCTTAATCATGTTGATCGAAAGTATATAGCTTTATTATTTTTTAATACGCCTGTACCTATCGTTTTCCAATCATTTGATTTCTTAGGATAACAGTTATTTATACGAGTTATTCATTTTCACAACTTGTATATTTTTGTTGGAATATTTTATAGAACTAGGAGCTCATTGCAACCTAGCTAATGGACTTATATTAATTACTGCTTATGTATTACGAACAGTTACAATTGGATCAGCTTACATCACTAATTATAAGGTAAGTTTCTCTGTAATGTATTCTACCTGGACAGACTCTTTTAAAAACTCTTCAGTAGCGTTTCATTGTACCAAAGACCCACTTTTCTCAAAACTATGTTGTTATTTAAATTAAATAATATTTTATGTGACAACAAATACAAAATGATTTAAGTTTTTGAATATGACATGTTCAATGTTTGCTCTTCGTCGTCATAGTAAATTTGGCTGTTTACATCGTCGTCTATTGACGCATACAGACTACGGCTAACACTCTGCAGACATTCTAAAACGTAAGTAAATCGTTTCGCGTCACTACTTTTAAACAGTCTATCAACAATAGTTGCAAGAACGTGACTATTCTTCTCCCCTGCGAATACTTCTATGATAAAAGAGTCTCCGCTATCTTGAACACCTCAAAGTATTTTCGCTCATATTGCAACAATAAATTTTACAAGCAAAACTGCCATTTGATGTAAGTTATATATTACTCGTTTCTACTTACAATTATATAAACCGACGCTGAGTTATCGTAATCTTGTTGAGACATTCCACGTAATCGCTTGACTCATAATTATCCAAGTTAAGGATAAAGCCCGGCGAAACTGAACTCTCCTTATAAAAGCTGTACTGTTAGGCATGGGTTATTTTCTTAAATAATGGTTGATGTTAAAACTATACTTAAAAGGATTTTTTAGCCGTAGTAAGTCTTTGAGTACTAAACATTATAAATTTACTTGTTATTAAAAAAATAACCCATCCCTATCAACAAAACTCCTACCCGCTCGTAAGTGTAACTACTAATCTTTCAGGTGTATTCATTAATGTAAACAAATGACAAATAATATTTATTATTTAAAAATGAATAATTATAATGATATTTGATTGAATAAAAAAATTGCGCGTGATTTTTGCTAACTTATTCTACACATCTATTTCTATAAAAATCAAAATGCTCTATAGTCAATTCAGTTACTGTAGGCTAATTAATATTGAATGGAGCTTTTAATAATGTATCTAATATATCTCTATCTTCTGCAACTTTTTTTCTACAATAATATTAAACTTTATTTTATTTAAAGTCTTTCCTTTTTTTCATCACGCTAAGGCGTTATGCTCGTCTTCATTTTGATTACTACTTCTCAAACGTCACGAAAATAATCCGTTTTTAAAGCTCATCATCACTAGGGACAAAAAATGGGTTGTATACAACAACGTCAAACACAAAAGGTAATGGAGCAAAAAAGATGAACCAACTCAAACCATTTCCAAAGCCGATATTTACCAAAAAAAGGTAATGCTGTTTGTTTGGTAGAATTTTAAAGGAATCGTTTTTTTTTATTTTTTACCGGATAACACAACGATTAATTCGGCAGTCTCTCATCAGCTGAACAAACTAAATGATGCACTTCAACAGAAAAGGCCAGAACTAATCAATAGGAAAGGTGTAGTATTTCACCAAGACAATGCGAAATCTCACACAAGTTTGGTTACTCGCCAAAAGCTTTTACAGCTTGAATGGGATATAATGCCACACCCACCATATTCTCCAGACCTGGCACCATCGGATTATTATTTGTTCCGGTCACTCCAAAATTTTTTAAACGGTAAAACCTTCACCTCAAATGAGGAGGTCAAAAACCACCTCGAAGGTGTTGGACCAGAACGGCCAATACATAATTCAACAAAGTATTTATTTATTATACGAAAACTGTCTTTCATTTCCATAAAAAAAAACGAAATTACTTTCCGAACAACCTAATAGTATTTTTCTAGTCAAAGAACTGACTTTTAAAAATACTATCGTTCATATCTAAAATACTTCTATTATACTCTCTTATTTCAATGTACTATATATCATACCGATGAAAGCAGGGAGAGGCATCTTTGATATAGTTTTATTTGGGGATTATTCAATGTCGTTATAAAATCTATGTTCTAACGAAATCAACATATTATAATTAAATAATATAGCAACTTTATTTATATAACTTATATAAATTATACTCTTTTTATGAAATATCTACTATTACATAATTATATTATTATATACATAACAAATTCAATGCTACATTCATTCTAGCTGCTCTAAGTGACTGAAGCGAAAATGTTGAACGTTACATGTTGTCACTCAATACCTTCAAGTATTGTTACTATTTTAAAGTGGTGTTGTATTTGATATGAAGATGTGAGAATTTCAATAAATTTTCTGTTACTCTAATTGTAGATTTTATCTCATTGGTGGCAAGTACGTAGGCGCCGGCCTAGGTGGTAAATAAACTCTACTTGCTGGCGTCGGTCTAGGAGGTGGTAAGTAAGTTTGTGGCTGTTGAGTAGGCCTAAATGGCGGCAAATAAGTTGCTCGTGGCGGTGCCGGTCTAGGAGTTATAACTGGTTTTGGTCTCGAAGGTCGTGGTTTCGGATATGGTTTCGGGCGCGGTGATGGATAATAATAATTAGATAAAGGAACAACCGGCATTGGTCGTGGATAATTGTATTCGGACATAGATTGGGGTGAATAGTAATTGTAATCAGGAGTGGATGGAAGTTTTGGATAATTATTGTTTTTTTGTGATGCCAATGACGATACGGTTGGGAACGCGCTTGGAGTTGTCAACGGAGATGTTGTCGTTGCTGGCGAGGAATCTATTGATGTAGAAATAGTTGACGAAGAAGTATAATTTGATGTCAAAGACTGAACTGGAGAAGTTGACATGGAACTAACTGAAGGTGTGACTGTTGTTGGAGGAATTGTTGACGATGACATCGTCGGTGAAGTTGGAGATTGCGCTGTAGAAGTAAGAGGCTGCAATGAGGGTAATAAAGTACTTTCAATAGTTGTAACTGGTGTCGATGAAGGCAATTGAAGTGGTATCGATGGCAACGAATAGTTATATGTAATTGAAGGAATCGACTGATCACTCGCAGTTGATGTAGTAAAATAAGCAGTTTGCGTAGAAATTTCGGTTGTTGGCATTGGAGTTGTATTTGAAATAACTGATGAAGCTGTTGCACTAGCGGAAGTTGAAACTGGTGTCGTAGAACTAGAATTATTTGGTTTACTTATGCTTGTAGTAGAAAGAGGTGAGGTATATGTTTGTGAATTGTAATCAAATGTTGGCGATACCGTTGATATAGATGGTACCGTATTAGTAATTGTTGTAGTGGGAGTTGTTGCAGTTGATGCTATTGTGTTTGGTATTGATAAAATTGGAGTCGTCAGCGTTGATGGTGTAGAACTAACAGTTACCATTGTTGTAGGACTCGTTGCAGAAGTCGAAGTGAGTGACTGATTGAAAGATATTGCTGGAGATGGATAGTTATACGTAATTGGAGTGCTACTCAGTGCATTATCTAATATTGTAGTGGTTGATGGAATCGACGTCACAGTAGATAGATAATCAGAAATGGGCGATTCAGTAGTAGATAACAGAGTCTGCGATTGCATTACGCCACTTTCATTTGTTGCATTACTAAATTCCGAAGTTGGTTTCATTGAAGTTGATGAAAACAATGTTGAACTTTCTGTGAGACTTTCACTTCCACTTATTGATGTTGTTTGTGTCAATGGCACTGTGTTGACTGGCTTCGATTTTTGGGTGATGACTGTGGACATAGTTGGCGAATATAACACTGAAGTTGTTGATGTTTTTGAGATTGTTGATGGATATGTTGAACTTTGAGTCGATGATTCAGAAAATGGTACTGTTGGCAAAGGATAATTGTACGTTGATGAGGAGCTCGGTATATTTGGGGAAGTAATGAGTGAAGATGAGTCGGTTTGTGCCATGTTGTTATAATTTGATGTTGAGATCAATGCCGGTGATCCTTGCGTGGATGTCGAATAGTCAACGCTCGTTGTCCCCGGTGATAATGAAGAAACTGATTGAGGCTTGTATGTTGTTTCACTAGAAGTTGAGCTCAAATCAGAAGGCGTTACTGCTAGAGATGATGAAGATGCAATTGTCGATGGCATTGTGTTATTTTCCTACGGAGAAAAATCATGTGATTTGTCACATGATAAATCACGTGACATTTTCAACCTATAAATCGAATGATTTTGCCACTATTTTACATAGATCTCAATAACATAAAACTACGAACTTTTACATAATTTACCATATGATTCCGCAGTGTTGCTCGCATCAGCACTATTATTAAAATGATTTCATATAATACCAACTATATCATAAATATAAATAATTAAATTGCTTAACCCAACAAATCACTTAGAAATGTAGATTTTTTTTAGAAATATAGTCATTATTACGTCTCTAAAAAGTTTTATGATAATTTAATGGATCTCCTAGGTTATATAAAACTTCAGACACTGATCAAATTATTAATCAAACTTACGACCCTTATTTTTTATTTATTTTTTTCAATAAGTGCTAGTTATCTGGTAATAATCACCAGCCTATACAATAGGAATTTCTTCTTGTATGCAGAAATTGCATGCAAATATGTACATAAATTTATATTATATATTTAGATTAACACCCTACACTTTAGATTACCGTACATTATGGATACCTGTAATACTATTTAGGTTGTATGCGTTAATACTTGTAGGTAGAATTTAAGCAAATGAGCTGACAATTTTTTACTAGCTTGTAATAAAATGTATTATGTTGATTATTGGTCGGTCTTTTATACTTCAGGA